GGCTGGGGGTCGTTGGGGCTGGGGGGACCCGGGGGGTCCGTGGGGTTGGGGATCGGTGGGGCTGGGGGGACCCGGGGGGTCGGTAGGGTTGGGGATCGGTGGGGCTGGGGGGACCCCGGGGGGTCGGTGGGGTTAGGGATCGGTGGGACTGGGGGTGGGGGGGCTGACGGCGCTGTGTTGCAGAGGAGGAGCGCCGGGTGCGCGCCAACGCACGGGAGTACAACGAGAAGTTCCAGTATGCGGTGAGTGGAGACCCCCCCCCATCCTCCACCCCAACTCTCCTCGCTGACCCCGGGGGGGTCGGGGGGCTCAGGGGGGTTTGGTGCCCGGTGAGGGGGTCACGGCTGCAAGGATCTGCGTGTCCCTGAGTGCAGCACTGAGCTGCGGGGATGGCGGACAAGCTGTACTCCTGCGGAGTCCTCCAACAGACCCCAATCCCCGCTCTGCCGGCCCCGGAGCAGCGCTGCGATGGTTCTGGTTAATTAACGAGCTTCCGGAGCGGCTGGGGGAGGGGCAGCGCTCACCTTGCCCACCCCCCCCTTCCCCTCTGTGGAGGTTATTGCTGCTGCTCTGCTTCAGGCCTGGCCGCCGCACTGCCTGCAAGGCTCCGGGCTTTGGAGGTGTGGGGATGTGGCTGCAGGAACGGTGTGAGGATGGGCAGCAGCTCAGGCCAGCCCTGCCCTGGAGCAGTGCTGGAACTGCAGCGCCTCGGCTCATCCTGACCCCCCCATCACCCATTCCATCCCCAGAACAACTGCATCAAGACCTCCAAATACAACATCGTCACCTTCCTGCCTGTCAACCTCTTCGAGCAGTTCCAGGAAGTGGCCAACACCTATTTCCTTTTCCTCCTCATTCTGCAGGTGAGTTGTGGGGAGCCGGGGAGGTGGGGCAGCGTCCTGCCTCAGGGTTAACAGTACGCTTTGGGGCCGTCCATCTCCCCCTAACCCCCCATTGCCGTCCGCAGCTGATCCCGCAGATCTCCTCACTCTCATGGTTCACCACCATCGTGCCTTTGGTTCTCGTCTTGACCATCACGGCCGTCAAAGATGCCACCGACGACTACGTGAGTGCTCCCCTCAGCACTGTCAGCTGTGGGCTGGGGGTGGACGTGGGACCCCAGCCCCCTCATGGCTGACCCCACCACCCCTTCCCCCGTGCCCAGTTCCGCCATAAGAGCGACAACCAGGTGAACAACCGGCAGTCTCAGGTGCTGATCGGCGGAGTGTGAGTGTCACAGGGAGGAGGGACGTGGTGTGGCCTCGGGGCAACGTGGCTCTGTGTCACACCGTCCCTCTGCAGCCTTCGTCAGGAGCAGTGGATGAACGTCCGCGTTGGGGACATCATCAAGCTGGAGAACAACCAGTTTGTGGCGGTGAGTTTGGTGCTAAGATGAGCACGGTGCTGCCTGGGGATACGGACTGCTGTCACCTCCTGGGTTTCCATCCGAGGCTGGAAGTTGGGCAGCAGAAGTTGGGCTGTGGGGATTTGTGAGCTCTTGGGGTGATGATGTCTGACAGGGCGTCTTGCTGGCCCCAGAGCTGCAGCGTGGGGTGGGGGGCTTCCCTGGGGGAGGCAGAGGGGAGCTCAGCGCCGGCACAGCCTTCAGCACGTCTCTCCTGCAGGCTGACCTCCTCCTCCTCTGCAGCAGCGAGCCCCATGGGCTGTGCTATGTAGAGACTGCCGAGCTGGACGGGTAGGTGCTGTCCTCAGCCTTGGTGAGAAGGAAAACGGGCCGTGAGCTGCTCTGCCGGGCTGGTGCTCACCCCACGCCGTGCTCCTTCCTGCAGAGAAACCAACATGAAGGTGCGACAGGCCACCCCCGTCACCTCAGAGCTGGCAGATATCAGCACACTGGCACGGTTCGATGGTGAGTACCCAAAAACTGTCCTCTGTGATGGGGCGGCCTTTAGGGTTCTTCCTCTGGTACCTGGCTTGGGTTTGGTTTGGAGAGACCGGGGCTGTCTGTGGGGTGCTGTGGTTCTGGGGTGCAAATGGGTCTGCAGAGCAACTGGGGCAGGGTGGGGGATGGAGCTGGGAGCAGCTGGGACAGAACAGGGGGTGGAACTGGGAGCAGCTGGGATGGGGCTGGGGATGGAGCTGGGAGCAGCTGGGACAGGGCTGGGGATGGGGCTGGGAGTAACTGAGATGGAGCTGGGAATGGGGCTGGGAGCATCTGGGACAGAGCAGGGGGTGGAACTGGGAGCAGCTGGGATGGGGCTGAGGATGGAGCTGGGAGCCAGCGGGACAGAGCTGGACAGATGCATGAGCTCAGCTGAGGTGCCCTCTGTGCCCAGGCGAGGTGATCTGCGAGCCCCCCAACAACAAGCTGGACAAGTTTGGCGGGACGCTGTACTGGAAGGAGAACAAATACCCCCTGAGCAACCAGAACATGCTGCTGCGGGGCTGCGTGCTGCGCAACACCGAGTGGTGCTTCGGCCTCGTCGTCTTCGCAGGTGGGCTGTGAGGCCGGGCAGCGCCGCGCTGCAGGGCTGGGGGCTCTGCTGACGTCCTCCCTCTGCCCCAGGGCCGGACACGAAGCTGATGCAGAACAGTGGGCGGACCAAATTCAAACGGACGAGCATCGACCGGCTGATGAACACCCTGGTGCTGTGGGTGCGTGGAATGCAGCTGTGGGGGAGCGCGCGGCCGTGGGGCTGGGGCTCACGTCCCGGTCCTGTCCGCAGATCTTTGGGTTCCTGGTGTGCATGGGGGTGATCCTGGCCATCGGTAACGCCATCTGGGAGCACGAGGTGGGCGTCTGCTTCCAGATCTACCTGCCCTGGGACGAGGGGGTGCACAGCGCCGTCTTCTCCGGCTTTCTCTCCTTCTGGTCCTACATCATCATCCT